ATTAGTGAAGAAGATCTCAAGAATTATGTGACAAGATTAATGTTGAAACAAATATACCAACCATCAGTGATTTTCTCATAACCTCGAAAAACCAACAAATGTATCAATTAATTTCATAATGTCAATCAACATCTATTACGAAATCATTAACACTATTTGCCACTTTAGTCAATTAAATGGTCGATTTTACATAACTAAACAATCAACATAGCAATTCAATCATCTAAACTGTAATTGATGTGATCAAGTAAAAAAAATTAAGACCGCGAAACTTGTTTTTTCTAATGGAAATCATATGGATTGAAAAAAAAAAAATTTCCTAAGTCATTTACATGATTATAAACCATGGGTCGTTGCCAATTATTTAATTGTTTAAGACGACTAAGCCACCAGAAACCACAAAATTATTAACAAAAGATTAAAACTTATAAAGGAAAAATCTTCATTAAAGTCATATTATTTTATCTTAATTTACGAATAAGTCATAAATTAAAATTTGTTTACGAACGTGAATTACCAGTAAAAGTTATGATTTGACCATGTTCCCGGTTTACCGATTTCATTGTCGATCTAAACGCATTAAAGTCTCACTATTTTATTATAAATTACAAATATGTTCCAAACTAAAATTTGTTTACGAAAAAACATGAATTATCGGTAAAAGTTATGATTTGGCTATTTTCTCTATATAACAAATATTTTACCGGTTTCCTGAACTGGATGTCTAGTCATTAAATGAGCAGATGAGATGAATATGTTGGTATATAATGCTACGTCTGCCATAAAATTTGACATCATATTGCATTGTATAATTTTTTGTAGTATGAAATATATCCAACAAAGACTATAATAATTATATAAACTGACAATAACTTCATCATTTTTGTAGTTTATAAAAAATTTCAAATTGTCTATCTAGTTTTATGTAACCCAACATATTCATCTCATCAACTCATTTCCTGAATTTTTTTTTCTTGATAACATACATTTTATCAGTTTCATTACTGACTTAGACGTCTAGTCATTAAATGAGCTAATAAGATGAATATCAAGTTTTACAGTAAACTATCATTATATAACTCGGCATATACATTTCATTAACTTATTTAATGACTAGGTGTTCAGCTCAGCAATGAAACCAGTAAAATGTTTGTTTCAATGAGAAAATTGTCAAATCATCATTTTACCGTTGATTCATGTTTTTTCGTAAACAAATATTATTTTGGGACTTATTCATAAATTATGGTAAAATAATGAGACTTTAATGCGTCAAGTTCAACAATGAAATCAGGAAAAAAAAAAAACCAAATCGTCATTTTTACCGATAATTCATGTTTTTTCGTAAATAAATTTTAGTTTTGAATTTTTTCGTAAATTAAAATAAAATAATAAGATTTTAATATAGATTTCCAAAATTTCCTCGCTCCTTTTCTTCCTTTGCGTGAACGGGATTTTCTCCGGACGGATCCCACCTTTTGTATCCCCAAAAAATCTTTACCTCCTCCTCATTTCATAATAGAAAATATGGGCTAAATCTTTGGGGTTTTGGGCCGTTTATAATTGAATTATGGGCTGCCGAGCAGATTAGAAAAGAATCCAACATTTTGACTTTTAAAATCAGCTTTTTTGGGCTCATTTTGGGCTGCCATATTAATGTTTATTGGACAGATTTTCTGTTGCTGTTCATGAGGCCGCCTAACACTGATTAAGCTCCATCATATCCTATCTTCACCGTTCAGAATAAAAATTAGTGAGTTAGGAAGACATTTGTAAAAATTCAGCTTAATCGGATTATATTTACCCCTCGACCGTTTGATGAAGACCATACAGTGTGGTAAAAAATTTAAAATTTCCAAAAAATCATCAATATCGCTTTATTTTTCTTCTTGATCACAAACATGATGGCAAATCTTTTCATGTGATTTCATTAATACTAAAATAAATATCATCATCCACACGTAAATCTGTATATACAGAGCTTAAACGAGCAAAATTGTTTTAGCTATGTAATAATTAAAATAAAAAATACATAAATTATGCAAAATCTAATATAATATGCATGCTAAAAAAATTAATTAATATAAATCTAAAATATAAAAAAGTAACATACTAAATATATAAGATGTCATGAAATTTTTTTAGAAAATATATAAAAATGAACTTATCACTAAACATCAACTTTATTTTTATGGTTTTTCTAAAAACACCATTATATATTTTTTTATTTTTTATTTTCAATTTGGCACTTTTAGCAAATTAACAACAATCTTCGGATTTTACAAAATTTCTTTTTGAAAAAACCCTCAACATCTTTTTCGAAAGAAATTCGCAACTTTTTTTCCGAATAAACCCTCACATTTGGCAAACGTTTTTGTTTGGACCAACTTTTTGGTTCTGACTCATAGTTCTCGGTTTTTCATGTTATTGTTGTTTATGGTGTTGTTAACAGTTTTCAACATTAAAATCTAAAGGAGACATTTAACTTTTATTTTAAAACAAAAAGAAAGGATGTTGTGTGCAATTCTTGTTTTTAAAATACATATCAAAACTTATTTACATGATGCTCAAAGAGAGATTGTAACAATTGAAAAGTAGTGGTCTGACTTGTATCGTAGATTATGTTTTATACAAACCTTCAAATAGATAAACATAAATGTTTAATTATTAAAAAAAATCTTTCAAAGAAATATGCATGGTAAAAAGTCGTTCAGATGGTACATTTTAACATTTTTTACATTATAAAAGGTTTTTAAAATAGATGATATAATAAATAAGCTTCTTAATACTTAACCATTGTTAATGCTATAAGATCTACATAATAAACAAATTCATTAATAATGTTTTTCGAACATGTAACAAACAAATTTTATTTAACTGCAATAAGTGATTTATTGATATCAATTTTTGATCTTTTAGATATTAATATTCGATTAATTTCATTGTTATATTTTGCACATATTTAGGGTTTTTTTATTGCATTACATTAGATTACATGACCATTTGAGATATGATATGATTGCATCGTGATGCCTAAAAACACGATCTAATAGATCGTTGGATCAAGATCTCTTACCAAAAATGGTTGCATGGACAACAACACCAACTATAATAAATCCACCAATTCACATATGGAGTGTGAAAAATGACAGTTGTGTGCTATATATAGTTAGTAGTAGCTAGATATCGAAAAGGGGGAATGACATACATATTGTGTGCTACAACAATTATTTAAGAGTCTAATATAGCTAGGTTAAAAGATAATTGAGGATGTCCTGACGTTGACGTTGTTAGGATCTCATATAAATTTGTCGATCAAAATAGTTTTATTTAAAAACAAAAAATAATTATAATCATTTATTCTTTTATCACACAAAAAATTCAAATTTTGACCTATAGTTAAATATAAATATCAAGCTAATAACTATAAGTTCAGAGTATAACGGTCTAAATACAAGAAATAGTAATGTATTTTATATTTTCTTAGAAGTTGTAATAACTTATAAATGAAACCATTTAAATCACATCTTAATCGGTTAGCATTCAACATGTTTAATAAATCATTTGAACAAATCAAAAGCCTATAAAGAGCCTCGAAACAGTTAAAGAACTTTATCTTCTCTAAACCATTAAAATGTAGGAATCATTCAACACTAAATTGTTCAGTTTTATAGGTTTTATCCGGAGCAAATACCATAAAAGCCACAACGTTTTCACACATAATTAGGAAAAGCCTCTTTTTTGTTTTTGTTGGTTCTGACCACAACTTTTACGTAGAGTTATTACTTTAGCCCGCTTAACGAGTTTAATAGTTAACTCTGTTATTTTTCTTGCAAAATCAGTCCTAAAATTAGGTTTAAAATCTAAATTTGGTCCTTATAGTTTGAAAAAAATTACAACACATGTCCAAAACTCGGTTTTATGTTTTTTTTTAACTTTTTTTTTTCGTTTATTTTTTATTTTTAGTCAAAACTAAACTTGGTTTTATATTTTTTTCGCTTTTTATATTCTTTTAGTTTTCATATATTTTTTTATTTTTTTAGTTTTTTCTTTATTTTTATTTTTCAGGTTTTTAGTTATTTCCTATTTTATTAATTATTAGTCGTAAATATCACACATTGAATCAAAATATATATATATATATATATATATATATATATATATATATATATATATATATATATATATATATATATATATATATATATAGAAAAAGCATAAATTACCCAATTTAAAAAAAAAATAAAAAAATAAAAAAATAGAAAACCAAAAAAAACTCAAACACTGAAAATATAATATACTCCAATATATTCATACACTTTACACTTTTTGAAAAATGTCGAAAGAAGTTATCAAATTGATGAAAAACAAAACCGAAAAAAAAAATACAAAGAAATTACGAAAAATATAAAATAAACTATAAAACCCCAAGTTTAGTTTCGACTAAAAAATAAAAAATAAATAAAAATAAAGAAGTTAAAAAAACATAAAACCGAGTTTTGGACATGTGGTGTGATTTTTTGCAAACTATAGGGACCAAATTTGGACTTTAAACTCAATTTTAGGAGTGATTTTGCAAGAAAAATAACATAATTAACCATAAAACTCATTAGGTGAGCTAGAATAATAATTTTGCATAAAAGTTATGGCCAGAATCAACCAAAAAAATAAATAACAAGGTTTCTCCCAATTACGTGTGAAAAACTTGGGACTTTTATGATATTTACCCTTTTATAAAACAACTCTTTATAGTTTCATTTACTTTTATTATAATACTAAGTTTACATTTATTCATATTACATAATTGCTCTGGTATTAATCATTTATTCATATTTATTCTTTTATTATATCGTATTGTGAAAAACTTATCCGCTACAACAATATGTTAATTAGTTTAGCTGGTACTCAGAGTCTGCAATTTGATAGATTTTTCAAAGGACGTGTTAACAAAAAAAAAAAAAAAAATATAAAATATAATGTTACAATAAAAGGAAATAAATAGTCTAGAGTATAAACACTTATATTCCTAGCAATCTATCTGTCCTTGGTGATGAAAAGGGGAGTTGAGATTTTAAAGCAAAAGCCTTACATAAGTGCTATTTTCTCGACTTAACTCCTTCAGACAGTTTGGATTACAGCTTAAGAACAAGGCCAATTGGACAGTGATCACTGCCTGTAACATCTGGAAGAATGTAAGAGTCATGGACTTTATCTGCAATCGACTCTGATACAAGGAAGTAGTCCAGCCTCCATCCTGTTTCACAATTCACATTTACAATAAATAAATATACATATAATATAACTTTTACATTTGAATGCAACAAATAGCAACCTACTTCTATTAATTTGTTTATAATAGCTTCCTACTTTCATTCCATCAGACAAATATTTTTCATTCCAGTGTATATAATAGCAACCATTTCATTCTTTCCCCATGATTCCATCATAACAAACACTACCTAAAAGGCTAAAACATTTTTAAAATAAAATCTTATATATTTATTATATACAAATAAAGACAAAAGTACCTCTGTTATTTTTTCGCCCACCATGCCTGAAACCCCAGTAAGTATAGCCAACAACATTAGGATGCTGTTTCCGGAAGGTATCAACAAAACCTTTTTTCAGGAAATTTTCCTCAAATGACATTCTTTCCTCAATTGTAAAACCAGCACTTCGCTTGTTTCCCTACAGACAATAACAAACAATAAACAAAAGATGAATCTTAACCTAACTTCTTATATACACAACTTACTGCAGGATTGTAGATGTCTATTTCTTGATGAGCACAATTCAGATCACCAGTTAAGATGACAGGTTTTGACTTTTCCAGCTCCTATATGTATAATGTATTGTATACAAAGATTATCATAATAGACAAAATCAAAACAAAAGTTAACAACAATATGTAATTAATTACCTTCACATAATTGCTAAGACTAGGATCCCACTCTGTTGTCCTGTATGACTATAGATATAAATGCATCCACACAAATTATTACTAAAAGATAACACATAATAAAATGGTAAAAAGATGAGTAGTTGTTTTACCAGCCTTTTCAGACCATCACCAGAATTAGGAACATATCCACTTATTAGATAAAACAAATCAAACTCTGTTGTCACAAGCCTTCCTTCACTATCATGATCTGATATCCCAACTCCATATCTAACAGAAACTGGTGGTATCTGTCAGGAAAGCCATTGTTTAGGTGATATAAAACCATACACAGAACCAAATATTTTTCTTTTTAAAAAAAAAAAAAAAAAGTTTTATAAAGAGATGAATGAGCATACCCTAGAGATAATTGCAGTTCCAGAGTATCCAAGCTTTGAGACACTACAAGTCCAAAAGCTATTCTCATATCCTTCCAAAAGACGTTGTTTGATTGCTTCTACATCTTTCTCCTGTTTTCACAAAAAAGAAATGCAATAAGCCACCAATACATTATACAGAAACAAACTGTTTCTTGTATTGATAGAATTAATGAAGGGAGGAAACAGAAACTTACCTGCAATTTTGTTTCTTGTAAGCAAAGTACATCAAAATCTTCTCTTTGTGCAAGTTCTAAAGCAGAAAAGCTCTCCAGTTTTAGCAAAGCCCTCAAACCATTGACATTCCAAGACATTAGCTTCACATGTTTTACATCATTAGCAAGAGGAGGAGGTCTCATAGTTCTAGGGTTGTAAGGTATCCAGTCTTTTTGTGGTTTCTTGTGAGCAAGAACAGTCCATGGTTCAACTGGAAGTTCAGAAACATCCATCTTATTGCATGTTTCAGAAACAACATCTGATGTTAAGCAGGTTGCTTTTTTACCTGAAAACATACACATACCCCATGTAAGATCAATTTGAGTTAAGATAAATTGCAGAAAATAGCAACATACTTCACTCTTTTTAGGGATAGAGGCAATTTACTTTATCTTTTACCCATAATAGCAACATGTAAAACGAAACTTGTAAGCATATTACAATTTTTTCGTTTTATAAATTGTATTATATGAGAAGATGGAAGAAGGTAGGTATAGGTTAAAGTAGTTAAAGAAGTACCTGACACCTTATTGGTGTTCAGAGGAGGCTCTTTCTTGGTATTACTTTTAGCCTTAGATTTTGTCTTTGAAACTTTTGACTGCATATGTCCACAAGTCTCAACAGTGATGTTTGGATCTGCATGGATTTGTTTTGCACGCCTCGTGCTCCTTTTATCTACAGAAACAGTGCTCATAACCTCAGCATGTTCTTCAACAGACAAACTTTTTGCCTTCCTTTTGGAAACCTTTTCACCATGAACATCATTCACTCTGGTGGATTTTTCATCTTCAACAACCTCTTGAAACTCTTCAATCAAAAAAATACATAAAGATTCTTAATGAGCCACATGAAACACTTAAAACTACATTTATAGCTCCAAATTGTTGAGTGTGTTCAATAGATTCATGACTAGTAGACAACATTACCATCAACTTCTTCAGAAAAGAATTTGTTCCACGTGCATACAAGATCATCTTTAGAACCTGCTGTTGGAACCCCCACATTCCTACAATTCAAAAACCTCAATAAGGAGATTTGATCTCATAAACCATAATGCTGTAGTGTAGTTCTCCACAATGATCGATAATATGTTGAAGTTTCTTTTCTTTCAACTCGATCATGACATGCTAAAAGGGAAAAAGTTTCTTCCCTTACAAGGAAAATGAACTGATAAAAGGGTTATAACAGTATAAGCATTAATCAGAATGGTTGATCTCATTTCCAGCAGCAATAAATCATGAGTGTTTAATGGAAATAAGACTAGGCATAGCATAGATGTAGCTACCTCAGTTTAGTTTTAAGCTCTTGAACTGTCATTCCAGCAGAGGTTTCCCCATTGTTGTTGGCACCTTCAGCTGTAGTTTCCTGCAAAACATTAAAAACTAAACAAAGATGATGAAACTAATAATGACAAGAGTGATATGTTCAATTAAAGAAAAACGTGGAAAGAGTAGAAGGGATGTGAAGAGAAAATTGTATAATAACATGACGAGTACACACAGAAGATGACAGTATAAAGGAATTCACAAGTCATTATGGTACCATTTATGGTCGATTATACTTTTCATGTAGTTGAACTCTTCTACATTTTGAAAAAAATCAACTTTTTTCAATTTGCAGTGCTTCGATATTCAATGAAATTGCAAATTTCCCTTTTGGATATTTCATGAACGCAACAAGGAAAACGCACATTCAATGGAAAGTGGAAGTTCATAAATCCGTCTAAGTTAGATGAATGAATAACCTCTGGCTGGCTGCTTGAGGAACTTTTCGACTTTGAACTTGAAGAGAGTTCTTGACACCCCATTCGTCTAGATATCCCAAAATTCAGAGCTCCAATTTTCAAGTTCTTCGGAATTACTCCGATCCTATTACCAAAAAAGCTGGTAAGCCTTGAGAAAGTGAGCAAAACCTGCTACTATTTCAAGCAAATGAAAAAGGGGGGAAATAACTGGACCATTCGAAAGATGTATAAGCTTTTTTGTCCAGAACAAAACGAAAAGCATTGTTCTTTGGTAAAAAAAATCCCAGTAAAGGAAAACAAGTAACAAATGATTTAGACACATAAAAGATAAAAGTTTGGTTACAAAGGTAAAACGGTTTTAGGAAATGCTAACTTGAGACTTGTGATACCTTTGGGGAATAAGGAAATTGCGAAACCCTAAATTCAACGTATAATTCATGAGATATAAAGAAATGCGTACATAAGAGGAAGGCGGGGAATTGGAATTGTGTTGGAGTTAATGGTGATTCCCGCTCATGACGACGGTATAGGAAGCACAGAAAGTCGGGGTTTGAGGTCACGGGTGGATTCAAATCGGAATAGATTCGTAAGCATCAGCTATTTTGTCATACACAACAATTCATGCATTATATAGTTGTCAAATACAACATTTTAAAACGCCAATTGTTGTTGTATGGATCAGCTCCCATTCAAATTCGTTCAGCAGAAAATAAACAAACACTTGATGATTGACTTAGAGCCTGACTGGGTCTGAAGTCTGACTGATATCTGACTGAAACCATACTGTTTGATTATGCGTCTGACTAGTTGTGCTGACTGTTGAAAATGACCATTTTACCATTCTATTATATTTTTTAGTGGTATGACAAAAGAACAAAAAAAGTACATTGCCATTTAATGTAGGTTTTAAAAAGAAACTAACCAACAAACTAAAGTAAATTGATATGTAGTGCACGTATGAAAAAGAAAAAATATAGCTTTTTTATAAATTTCTTTGCAATAACCTAGATAGCAAAACCATCGGGTCCTTTTGCTCATTAACCTTCTCCACCACATCGTTCACTTTTAATCGCAAATTCCCCCACAAAATCAAAACCCATTGAATATGTTTGCATACTCAAGGTCTAAACAGAAGCTATCCAACTACAAAATAATAATAATAATAATAATAATAATAAAATAAAATAAATCTATTTTCTTGGTATGAACCTATCCAACTACAAAAATCAAACAAAAAAAAAACTTAAATCAAGATACTTGATTCACCTACTATAAGGTTAAAAGTAATGAGCTAAATGAACACTGATGAATGCAGACTTGATTATCAATTAGGAGAAATCCCAGGTGAACTATGAACTATAATGCACACTCATGGTTTATGTATCTGGAAAAAAAAAACTGCAAAAGGAAAATATATCAAGAGAATCCAATATCTCATCATGAATCTGAAACCATATCTTACAATAAAGGGGCAATGATATTCAACAGTAGGCGCCAAATTGATCAACAACCAAATCTTTCATTAACATAAGGGGTTAGGGCAGTTGCAATCGATTAGGAATGAGTTAGGGAGAGAGTAGATACATAAAGAAGTATTGATAAATTTTTAGAAAAAAAAAGGGAAAGAGAATTATACCTGCAGCTTGATTAACAGAAATGGGGGTGAAATCTCGTTTGGATTCATCGCGATGGGAAGGAGAACAAGAGAGATGGCAACAGCAGGTGGGTCGTGCTGGAGAGGACTACGATGGAAGAGGTGGTCGGCGAGGCTGAAGACGATCGAGAAACACGAGAGGAGTGAGGACGAAGATCGCAGAAGGGTTGTTCAATGGAGGAAGTTGCCGACGAACAGAAGTTATTGAGATTGGGGAAGGCGATGGAGAAGGCAAAGGGCAAAAATGAGAAACACGCATAAGAGACTCGGTCAGCTCCATTTTTTAATAGGACCGAGTCAGCTGCTATTTACCGGGTCAGAAGAATTTTTTTGTGGGTATCAAACATGCTGATTGGGCTGACCGGACCGAGTCAGTCAAAAAGTGCTGACCGGACCCAGTCAGCAAGATATCAAACGGGCCCTAAACTGCACAAATGATCCCTATGGTTTGCTCAAATTTGACACTTTTGTCCAAAAAGGTTTGGACTATCACCACAGGTCCAAACTTTTCATTTTGTTGCAAGTTTGGTCTCTCTCTCTCTCTCTCTCTCTCTCTCTCTCTCTCGTTTTAATACCAAGAAGATACATCATCTTCTTCAAAACCCACCATCAGATCCTCACCACCGTTCTTCCTTCCAACCACCACAAATCAACCACCAAAAAATACAACAACACCGCCCCTGTTATTGTCCTCGTCTCCCTTTCTTCTTCTTCTTTCTCTTCTCCCTTTCTGTTTCTCTTTTATTTTAAAGAAACCCAAATTTTTGGGACACTCCAAACCTCTGGTATATATGTCGATGATGAGGAAGCAAAGTAAGACTAGGTATGAGATATTAAGAGTCCTCATGAAGGAGGCAGGCATCGCCGTTGCTAGCAGTGGTGGCACACCCATTCTTTCTCACTGGAGAATATGAACAAAAACCAAACCAGATCCTAACCTCAAGCTCATTGTAAAATAACGATGATCAATCATCGATGGTTACACACAATGCCATCCAAATCCAAGTAACATATCTCTTTCTCTCTCTCTCTCTCTCATGTCTATTGCCTTCTTCCCATAGAAGCTTAAACACACACATTCTCTCTGATAATTAATAACACATGCACACACACACACACACACACTCTAAAGATTACCGACTTGCGACAATCTCACATTACATCCCCCTTCTTCGAATTTTCCAGAAGTAATTTTAGGGCTTTTAGCCCTAGAAATTTCATGTGAGAGTATCAATTAGATACAAGTTCACTTATTATCCTTTTCATTTATTTCAGATGTTCAATTGTTCAGAATAATCGATTTTGGGTTTGATTGGGTTAGATTGCAGAGGAGGTAATCGGATATCAGTGCTTCACCAGAAACCTCTTTTTGGATTCAATCGTGTTTTGTGAGTTTTTTTTTTTGTGTTTGGGTTCTGCTCAAATATGAATCACTATATCAAACTGTATAATGTAAAGGTGAAGAATAACAATTATAGATTTAGGGCTTCTCCTTTGAACTCGAAAATCAGGAATAAAAAGATGAAATCAAAAGAAATCTTGATGCTTGTAACTTCAATAAACTCAGAAGCAGATGGAGGGTCTTTGGTGTTGACGAAGGTTGTTAGCAATAAAGATGTTTAGTGTTTTATTTTTGAATGATTTGTTGAAGACGGTGGGCTTAAATGACCCATTTTGAGCCGATGAGATGAATATACTTGAACGATTTGTTGTTTGAAGTTATTTAATTGATTTTATAGCGATGAAGATATTTGATATTTGAATGAATTGTTGAGAATGATTTCTTGAAGATAGTGGATTTAGAGGACCGATACCGATGAAGAGATTTGATCAGCTGTTTGTGTTTGTGTTTGTGTTTGTGTTTGTGAGAGAGAGAGAAAGAGAGAGATAGAGAGAGAGAGAGAGAGAAAGAAAGAAAAGAGAAAGAGAAGAGAGAGTTTGCATTTTTATTTTCTATTTTTTTCTGTTATAAAAAATTATAAAAATAAAATATAGAAGGAAATTATTTCTTTTTTATTTTTCTTTTAATCAGAAAAATCTTTAAATAATAAAAAAAAACTGAAAAAGTAAAAAGTAAGGGCAAATTCGTCTTTATGAAAAAGTTTATAGCAAATAGGACCAAACTCGCAACAAAATGAAAAGTTTGGACCTTTGGTGCTAGTCCAAACATTTTTGGACCAAAGTGGTAATTTTCGATAAACCACAGGGACTATCTGTGCAGTTTAGTCTATTGAGTATATACTCCAATGACTAGGGCAATCTATTTGAAACAAAAAAACTTTTTTTTTGTTAAAACCGTTAATGTTTATGCTAGGGGGTGTTTGGGATTGCATTTGAAAAGTGTTTATCTGCTTATTGGCTTTTCGAAAAGTTAATAAGTTAAAAAAAGTGTTTGACAGTGTGACATCCCCATTTTCACGGCCAGAAAAGATCAATTTTGTTTATGCTTTGTTTAAAAATCAGAGTAACATTTTAAATAAAAGTGTTGCGGAATTTGTTTCCAAAATAAAATATGATAAAGATTTATCAAAACATTTCCGTAGAAATGTATTTCATTAAAAACCTCAGGATGTCATGTTCGATACAAATCAAAAGCATAAACAATACAATATAAGCCTTACTACATTTATTCATATCTACAGGCCTATATCCGTAATCTCTCATCCCAAACATTATATATATGCTCGTGCGCCACTACCTGTAATACAAGAAACTGAGTGGGTCAGGCTTAGGAGCCTGGTGAGCACATATGGTTTTCAACCCACAATAAATAAGTTTATTAATTTCATCAATCAACAATAACCCGATTACCCGTTCCCGTTATCCTCACTTTACGTCCCTAAACACCTATCATAAGGGACCCAGCCTAAGGATCATCATCGGGATGGACACTACTGCTAAGGGGGTTCCTCAGCAATAAATGTCCTAAAGGCAACCATGAGGGGGATGGAGTACACCGGTGAACACATCGTTCACAAACACCTACAGGTTGCGAGCCTGCTAGCGTTCCACTGGACTGTCTAGAAGAGTCAGTGGTCGTCATCCATACTCCGCTAGATGACAGAATCAACAACAACAACATCGAGGCCTCTCGTCATTTTATCACACATCGTCTATTACATCTATCCATGTTTTACCCCAACATTTTGTAGATATAAAATACATATACAGTTTAAATCGTTTAAAACATGTATAAAAATCTTTCATCAGCATAAACAGCAAGTATTCAGACAATATGCACACATAGCACGTAATTTATATTAAATACTTCATATCTATGTGTAAGATGAAAGTAACTATGCACTTACTTGATTAGGTGGTGACTCGGTACTTGAACAGCGCTTCTTTATCTCAAAACAATTTTTCCTTGACCAAAACCTAGTATTAATACCACTAGAGTTTAGTTTTAACGTTAACCGTGACTAATTAATAGTCTAGCTATTATTATTATTATATAAGTGTAAAATAACATTCAATATAACTCATAATAATAGCCCAAATAATTATTTTAAGGACCTAATAACATTACTATAATTATTTAAAAGTTATATTAAAAATTGCGTAGGCGTAGCTCACTTACAGCGGATTTTAAAGAAAACCGGGCTTCGCTTGGAGCAGTGTTTCGGAACCGAAAGACCCTTTTTCTCGGGACTCCGGGAGCCTCGGGGCTTCCTTAGGGTGCTAGGGATTTTTCCTAGGGTTTAGGGGGCTCAAAATAGGCTAGAGAGAGAAAGCAAGTTAGAGAGAGAAGTGAATTGGTGTGAATTTTTCAGGAAATCTCGCAGCTATTTATAGGGGCCAGCAACTCGGATTTACGTTGCGCGTTCAGCAGCTACGGGGCGCGTAGCTTCGGATAAGGTGCGAGGTGGCGAGCATTCGGTGGTGCGACGTGGCTTAAGCTGGACCGAGGGAGGGGTTCGCGTACCCGGCGCGTTCCGAGCTCGGACGCTGGGCGTAATGCGAGGGTGACGCGTCCTTCATCCGAAGCGAGACCGTGCTCAGCAAGCGACGACTGAGA